CACCTAGGAGGTTTCGAGCTTGAGACCTTGGAGGGAGCACACCCCCAAGGCCCAAACCTTGGCCCTCTAAAAATTGTACACATGCCCCTAGTTTTTTTTGTGGCAATCTTATCTGTATATTACAAGTCCTATATATAGAGAGGTTTTGGGAGTAGTAGGTGTAGAGTGGGTGGTGGTAGTAGGTAAAGTGGAGGTGGTAGGTGGAGTGGGTGAGGAGTAGTGGAGGTGTGTAGTGGTAGTGGTAGGTTTTAGTGGTGTAGGAGGTGTACATTAACAATTCAAAAAGTTACTAAAAAAGTATGTTTCCAAACGAGGTCTTAGGATCTATTATATTTATATTGATATATTATTGAACAATATAAGAGGAACAATTGATGATTGTTGTATGATACTACATGAAAATATATCATGGAGTGTCTTATTGGTACCCAAATTTTTTTCTATATTGGAGAAATTTATTGCAAAAAAATAATAATAATAATAAAATAAAAAAATAAAATAATGAAGTTTTTTTATCAATAAAAAAATTATGAGGACTACATATATATTTTATCATGTTTTGTTTATGACAAAATGTGTGACTAGTAAAAGCGGCATTTTGATCGTACTAGTAATAAGGGGTGTTAGAAAAAAAAAAAAAGGGTCAAATCACACCAACTCAATCCAATTTGCCAAATTAGAATTCGTTAACCACCTACAAACTGATCGAACTTGCATTATATTTGCCTATAATCTCTCCCTAAACCTAATAGCATTAGTTGAATGACACTCACCCTTCATTTTCACTCCATAATTTTTCTTAACTTGATTATTTTGCATATTAATTTGTAATTTTTGAATAAATAATAATTTTTTTATACAAAATAAAAAGGGGCTTTTATATTCAACTCCCTAGAAAAAAATGTTTTGTATTAGTTTAAGAACAACTAAAATATGCTTTAAGGATATTATCTTTTTTTTTTTTTTTAGACAAAACTATCTACCTTTAGTTTAGTTTTATTATTCCATTGCGTCCTATTGGCACTGCTGTTTCTAGCCACCTCTGGCCACTGGTGACCACTAGTTGTTGCAAATGACATGTTTATAATGACTCTCCGGTGAAGTAAAATTTTACTAGTGACTTTCTCGCAGTGAAATTTCATTGATTTTCAAAATAAATTTTTTTAGGTAATAGCTAAAAGCATAGTGATTATTATTATTATTTTTTTGAGTTACTCAATTATATAAATAAATCCTACTGTGTAAAGTATAACAAAGTTTCACTGATTTTAAAAAAAAAAAATCAATTAATAGCCGAAAGCACAATAAATCTTTTTTTTTTTTTTTTTCAAGCTAACACAGTTATTATATAAATGAAATTCTACTGTGTAAACCTTATACCCTGGTCAAAGGTATAATGAAATTTCATAGCTTTTAACATTAAAAAATAAAAATAAAAATTCAATTGATGATTAAAAGTTATAAAATTGAAAGTTAATTAAATTATGAGTCCCATAGTTAGTGAAAAATCATTGAGTTAGAAAAATTTCACTAACTTTTAGTTTGAATCTAGTAGAATTGCACAATGTTAGAGAAATTTCACCGACTAAGTGTAGATCAATGAAATTTCTTTGATCACTGACTACAGTAATTTCATGTATTTAATCTAACAACAGCAATAAAAATAGATATTGTAATACATTTTCTCGTTAGAAATCATTTCTAACTCACTGAAGTCACTATTATTCTTGCCAAACACTCATTGTTCTCGGTTGAAGTGTTGGTATCTTCTACCTCATCAATGGTAGTGAATACTCGAAGGACATGGTTAGATCGGATGATAAGATGTCTCGTTGAGTCTCACAAGTAGATTTGATGAAAGTTTTGCAAGAGATATAGAGATATAGAGAGAATATAACTGTGAGAGAAAGGGAGATGTAGAGATTTAAAAATGACATAAAAAATGACGACATATGCGATTGTGGTGATCGTGGTAGTAACGACGAACTCTAGTGGATATGCTAGATAGAGAGAAAGATAGATAGATATAGCACATGGAAACACGATCGAAAGAATTCTAAGATTTTTTTTTAAATTTTTTTTTATATGAATAGTTTAGTCCATTTATATCAAACCTTTTTCTTATTTTTCTACAATTTAAAATTTTAGAAATTTTAACTAGCGAACAAATTATTAGTTTAAACTCTTACACAAATTTGTAGAGGGATATCTCCATAATTTTTTCATAAAAATAAATGTTATAAATATGTTCACTTATTAATTTCTTTTCAACTTATCTAAACCATTAATTTTAAAAAGAATAAGGCACTATTTGACATCCATACAAAAGTGTACTTTTTATCTTTTTTTTTTTTATCATATTACCTTTTATTTTTTTGGATATTTTTATATAAAAATTAAAATTCACATCCATACAAAAGTATATTTTTTATCTTTTTTTTTTTTTTTTATCATATTACCTTTTATTTTTTTGGACATTTTTACATAAAAAATTAAAAAATATATTTATTTAGATGATTTTAAACACCCAATCTACCAATTTTAAAAACAAATGAATTAATAACAAGTTTAAAAAAATTCAATCCATCAAAGGTGATTTAAGTTGATCGAAATCGACCTGCATATACCTCTGCCCGCTACCAGTGCTTAATAGCCAATTAGAATTAAACATTTTGGCTCCGTTTGGTAGAGTTTTGTAATTATGATTTGAGAATATGAGTTGTATTTTGAGTTTGTGTGTTTTAGAATTATGATTTGAGTGTAGAAAATATTGAGCATGTTTGGTTTGAAAAAATTCATTTTCCAAAAAATTAAAATTTTTTATTTTTTATTTTTTTACTTTTATTGATTTTTTAAATATTTTTAGTAATTTTTTAATTTTTAGATATACTTAACATAAATATACTTAAAAAATATAATATTTATAAAAAAATATTAATTTTTTTTACTAAATACCAAAAATATAAAAAAATACAAAAATTTAATATATTTTTTTATATTCTTATATATATATTGATTTTTTAAAATATTTTTTTTAATAAATATTTTACTTTTTAAATATATCTAAGTGAAGTGCATCTAAAAATATAAAAAACTTATTTAAAAATTTAAAAATATTCACTAAAAATAAAAAAAATAAAAAAATTTCATTTTTAAAAAATTGAATCTAAAAAATTAAAATCATACTTCCTCCAATCACCTCTTCCTAAGAGTGTAAAAATGGCCCGTGGCCCGGGGTGGGCCCGAGCCTAGTCCGAGACCCTAGACCAGGGCCTAGGCTATCATTTTGAAGCCCTGCCTACCTAGCCCGGCTCGTGGCCCGCCCGAGATCTAGTATCTTTTTTTGTGAAAAATAATAAAATTTTGATAGAAAAAATAGAAAAAAAAAATTGTTCAATCCTGTTGAAGCCCGTCCCAAGCCCAAGCCCAAAGCCCAATCCTAAGCCTGTTCTAGCCTGAGACCCGCCCAAGACCCGAATACCTCCTGGGCCTGGGCCTAATTTTCTGGCCCCTGAACCGGCACGAATTTTTGGCATGAGCCCGCGAGGCCAGACATGGGCCGGGCCAGGCCAGGCCAAGCTAAATTTACACCCCTACCTCTTCTCACATCATCATCGTCAAAGTTGCGTCATGAACTCGAGAAGATTTGATATTCCTCGGGTACAACACATGGTGTAGAGAGAGTGAGTTTTATAATTTTGCGTTAAGTAATTATGACAGAGAAGAAGACGTGGTTAATTGTGATTGGTTAGGAGTAAAATCATATGGTGTCCTTGGATCACAATATAATTTTTTTATGATCTATTTTGAGGAGTAAGTTAAAAGTTAATTTTTTTATTTTTTATTTTTTATAACTTTTTTAAAAAAAATGCAAAAACTAAAGAGGTAATGTGATTAAAAAGAAACTAAAAGTTAATAAATTGATTTTTCACCTAGTTGCCAAAGAGTCCTATATTTCCATAAACACCCTTACATCGGCTTATTTTGGTAACTAGAAAAAAAAGAGTTGATTTTTTTTGTTTTTTTAGATTTTTTTTTTGAAAAAATATGCAAAAATAAAAATAAAAATAGAGAGATGATGTGATTAAAATAAGTGAGGATTGTTTAGAAAGTGTTAGATTATTATATTTTTTTGAATTTTTATGAAAAAATATAAAATGTAAGTTAGGTTTGGTTTGGCATAACTTAAAAAAAAGTTAAAAAATCACTATTTTGTTTAAGTCATATCATCTTATTTAAATCACATCACCTCTCTACCATATCACTTCAAACCTAATCCATACTCAATCTATATTTTATAAAAAGTCAAAAAGTACACTTATTTAGGACATCTCAAACAATCTCTTATGTTGTGTTTGGTTGGGGAATTTGGAGAGGGATTTGGAAAGAAAAATAGAAAAGGTAGGTGAAATGTGAATAAAATATGCCTATATTTCACATAGTTTCGCACACATTTTCCCTTTCTCTTTTCAAATCCCTTCCAAAATCTCCCAACTAAACACAACATTAGTGTTGAAATGATGTGATAGAGAAGTGATATGACCTAAATAAAAGATGATGTAAAATAAGATGATTGTGACTCAAATAAGATAATAACACGTTTGGTAACTTAAAATTTTAATTATAAGTTATCATATCATTTTTTTTTATTTTGCTGTATATATTTTTATAAAAAGATCAAAAATTACTAAAATGGGTTGTTTTTAAACCAATAAGGCAAGAAGTGGTTTTTTTTTTCAATTGTCATAAGGGCCGTCGTAACGTGTCAAACTGTGATAAGCCAAAAAAATGCAGAGAAATAGACAGCTTTGCAGAGGATTCCGTCACCGTCTTGCACCCTTTTCTCTCCGATGTGAAATCAACGCGCTTAAAACATCTAACGCGGCATTGGGCCAGAGACAGAGACAAGTGGGCCCCAATGTACGCTCGCTGAACTCTCTCTCTCTTTCTCTCTCATCTCATTAATGTTATTACATATTTACGTTTTTCTTTTCCACATTTTTTCCATACATTTCCTTCTTGTTTCGGTCTGAATCTCTCTCTCTCTCTCTCTACGAAGTCCTCGAGCGACGGCGGCGGCGATGGGCAATTGCTGCTCCGACGCCTCCGGAGGACGGGCGGCGGTTGGTGGCGACGCAAATACTCACGGTAATCCAGCTGACGGCGGCCCCAACGACGCCGTGGATCACTACCTCACCTCTCGCGGCTACCGCGGTCTGTTTTCTCAGATCGAGGTTCGTCATTCGATCAATTGTTCTTCATTTTTTTGAATTACTTTTATGTATAAACTTGTAATGGTGTGAGGTTCTTCGATGCTTCTTGTTAGCATTTCAATATGATTCAACTAAACTTTTTGAATTCAAGCTAATAGCTATACCTTGCAAGTACAATGGAAGAACTGTTAGTTGAATTTGAATCAGTGTATTGTCAAAGGATGCTAGTGAGATCTGGAAGGGACGGCCTAGTTATTGCAGCTTCATCTTTTTTTTCTTTTGTTTTTTGTTTTTTTGTTTTTTGTTGATATTGAATGTATAATTAACTTCGATTTTGCATGAAAATGCAATATAATAACTTTCAAAATGCAAAGGGGGGATCTGTTTTATTTGTTGGCTCAATGAACAATTGCGTTTTCTTTTATGAGTAGTTGAGTGTGCTAAGTGGTTGTAATTTGCTCTGCACATGGATATGCTGTGAGTACTAGGGCCTAGAAGATTTAAGGAGTCATTCTCTTATATAAGAAGACAATTTAGATTGATAGCAAGCAATTCTATGCTGTTTAGAAATTGAAGTGGCATCAAATAATAAATTTTGCTTTATTTTCCTTGGTAGCCGAAAATTTTCCGATTCACAGTTTACTATCTTTGACTTCAATACCATGTCTTTCAACTAGACAAAGTTGTTTCATTCAGTTGCTAAGGAAACATGTACCTGCAGTGTGGCTGATCTTGTTTGTAGTTGAAGGGATGTTAGTCAGGGATTAGAGGAAGAAGGCTTACAAGTTCAAAAATTAGATTATTTAGCATTTTCTATTATGTTACGGAGAGTGTTTGTTGTGGGAAGACTTTAAAGAAATTCAAGAGTAGAAAATATAGAAATTGATTTAGGCAAGGCATGTTTAGGACACTTTCTTCAAGATTGTAATTTCCTCACTATGATGCCGATGAGCTCCTGGAAAATCCAAAAATAACAAGAAACTCAGAAGGCATAATGAAAGAAGAAATTGAAGACAAAGAGAAGAGAATTCAGATTTTTATATCTTAGTGACCATTCACCTGAAACCTATTTATAGGTTTCGAATGGTTTACTTTAGCAACTTTTTGGAAAGGTCACACAACCTTCCAGAATATTGGCTGTTACAGCAAGTCCCTAAAAGACATAACCATTGGTTATTAAAAAATATTAGTTATTTTGAATAAATAACCGTTTGGTAGTTATGAAATAACTGCCACTAACTGCTATTGGTAGTTATTCAACCACCTCTTTTGATTCTTCTCCTTTTAGTCCTATCTTATATATTCAATTCTATCTATCCATATTATAAAGAACATTGTATTATTAGTAAATAATATATGATAGTGTTAATCTGTCCCTAGAAATCTTTTGATATGCAAGGGCACTGTATGGGCCAGTTTTGTGGTTGGGTATAGGTTTTTGTTTTGTGTGTGGTATAGGTTATTTGTTTTGTTTTGTGATTGGGTACATCCTCCTTTTATCTTTTGTAGTGGCTCCTCTTTTGGTCCCTTTTCTAATAAAACCTCTTACATATCTGGGGAAAAAAAATTAAAAATAAAATTAAAAAGAAGAAATCCAAGCTGTCATATTTATAACACAACTACTGCCTACAATTAAAAGAAAAGGATAATTGAAAGAATGAAGACTTAAATTACGCAAGGTTTCGCTTGAAAGAAAAAAAGAAGTTTTCTAACTTGTTCATCTCAGCAAGCTCAATTTGCCTGCTCCAATTTTGTCGACTTTGTGCACACATTTCTTGATTCCCCAACAATTTTTATCACGAAAAATGCTCATCCTTATAGCACCATTCAATTCCAGAATTATTTATATGTAGTTTCTAACCACAAAATTCTTCTTAAGCACTCTTGTCTTTTATCAGTCTGAAAACCTCACTCTCCCTTTCTTTAATGACCTCATGATCCTCTCTTTGTTTCTTAGTTGATAGATGTCATATGGAGATGCATTTCCTTTTCAAACCTCCTTTATTTAGTTGCTTAAGCAACAAAATAGCTCCATGGAGGATCTTCTAGGTGTCAACTCTTTTAAAATTATTTATGTTCTTATATAACAACTTGCTTTTTACTTGATCTTCAAAATTTCAAGTATATCACCTTTTTCATCTACATGTTGAAGTGTTCTTCCACCATTCATTTTGTACTTTTGTGTTTACAATTGCATTGGACTCACGCAACAATTTCTTATTCGCTTTCAAGCCTTAAGGGTGCTCCTTTTTAAACTTTTTCACAAACATCTATATTTTCCAATCTCATCTGAGAATAAAAAGGATATCGTAATTTAAAGGTGCCCATATTTAAAATATAAACATCAACGCGCAATTGAAAATTGGATTGTTTTGTTTCTAATGAGTATCAACAAATCAGATTGGGGGCATCATTAACCATATTAAAAATCTGGATTTAGGCGTACAACTCTATTAGAAAATCTAGATGTGTCCTGTGTTAAAGCGACTATCGATTTAGGCAATCCAATAAAAATTAAGCAACCATGATCAATGGAGAGTAGAGACAGTAAACACAAACATCCACGACACAATTGGAATCTACCAATTTGTGATAAAAAACCATAGGCCCTCGGATAGACGAATAATCCACTATACAAAAAAGAGTGTACTAGAGATATCTTACAAAGACCAGCCTAGGGCACATGTGTCCACTCCACAGCACGTGTGTCCACTCCACGACACGCGACTCTGTTCAATCTACAAGCAGCTCTACCTCCTTCTCCATTGGATATCTGTTCCGATATTGAATCCACAATAACAGTTGTTGAATCACACAACGCCAATGACTCTGGAATCCACCGAAGCCTACAATCTTAGAATCCATCAAGAAGGTTCGCTTTTGGAAAGATGTGAAGAACTTACAAAGCTTGATGATGATGAACTTGAAGTTCGTATGGCTAATGTATCATCAAGCAAATGAGAGCATTACAAATAATCTTCACTACAAGTACACTCTCAAAACAAACTCAATAAAATCTCTCTTAAGAAACAACTCTCTCAAAATATATTTCTCTCACAAATAAACTTTCTATAAGTTTGAAAATATTGAGCTCTGGAGAGTTATGGCAGAGATAGAAAATGAGATAAGAGAGTTTTCCAAAAGATGCACCAACAAAACAGCCAAAGGGTCCTTTAAATACACTTGGGACAGGGCATCTTCGTGGGCGCAGATATTTGGATTGCTAGCGCGATATGCCATCACAGGATGCCTCTACCTTTGTCTCTATTGCCTTGTCTTTCTTGCCTCTTTCTAATCAATTTTTGTTGGAGATCTCCATTGATTTCTCCAGGCAATCAAAGCTGGTGCAAGCATGTGAAGAAATAGGCTAAAGATTTGGCTTTATTATTTTAGTCAAATTGTGTAAACTTTTTGATGGATTTTGTTAGGACTCCATTTATTCTAAAGCATGTGCAAAAAGATGAGAGTGGTTGTTAGTCAAAGCATGTGTGGAAAAGTAAGAATATATAGCTCAAAAGAATTGAAAAGAGAGATTTTGGAATGCCTAATGAGGCTACTTGTTTTTGGATTGATTGGCATACTTGTGTGAACATAATAAATGGAATAGCCTTCATGTTAGTCAATTTGTGAAAGAGAAATTGAAGTGGGGCTGATGCTATGAGTTAGAAAATTGAAGTTTTTGTTTGATTTGAATATCAAGCAAAATAAAGGTCAAAAGATTAGATTTTTAAATTACAAAGGGGGCTGAATGTCGAGCCCTTGGTAGACGACGAGGCATGGGCTGAAAATCTCAATAAAAATTATGCAACCATGATCAATGTAGAGTAGAGAGAGTAAAAGCAAACATCCACGACACAAAAAATTTTTACGTGGAAAAATCACAATTGGAATCCACCAACTTGTGATAAAAAAATCATGAGGCTTCGGCCAGAAGAATAATCTACTATGCAAGAAAGAGTAGTATAAGAGATGTCTTACAACTGCTAATCCAGGCTCGCACGATTGTTCAATCTATGAGTAGCTCCACCTCCTCTTCCACTGGTTATCCGCTTTGTTAAATCCATACGACAACAAATGGCTTTGGAATCCACCGCAGTCTACAATCTTGGAATCCACCAAGAATGTTTGTTGAATCACACGGCTCCAATGACTCCGGAATCTACCGAAGTCTACAATCTTGGAATCCACCAAGAAGGTTCACTTTTGGGAAGGTGTGATGAACTTGAAACTCCTATGGCTAATGAATCGTCAAGCAAGTGAGAGCATTACAAATAAATCTTACTACAAATTCACTCTTAAAACAAGCTCTCTCTTACAAAAATTTATTGTCTCAAAATATATTTTACTGAAAAATAAACTTTCTCTAAGTTTGGAAATATTGAGCTTTGGAGAGTTATGGGAGAGATAGAAAATGAGCTAAGAGAGTTCTCCAAAAGATGCATCAACAAATCAACAAAGAGGCCTTTAAATAGACCTGAGGTAGAGCAAGATCGCGGGCGCGGTCAACTGAGGTCACAGGCGCGGACTCTCTTCGCAAGATGCAAAGAAAAATACTGGGAGCTAGACTTTTGCATTTTCCAAATCGTGGGTGCAATGCTTGGGTTCGCGGGCGCGAAAAGCACGCTTGTACAGGTATTTTTGTAGACTTTTGCATAAGCTTTCTTAAGATTTTCAACCCATGCCTTGTCTACCAAGGGCTCGACATTAAACCCCCTTTTTAATTTAAAAATCCAATTTTTTGACCTTCACTTTGCTTGATATTCAAATCAAACGAAACTTCACCTTTCCAACTCATGGCATCAGCCCCATTTCAGTTTGTCTTTTACAAATTGACTAACATAGAGGCCACTCCATTTATTATGTTCACACAAGTATGCCAATCAATCCAAAAACAAGTAGCCTCGTTGTGTATTCCAAAGTCTCTATTTTCAATTCTTTTGAGCTGCATACTCTTACTTTTCCATACATGCTTGGACAAACAACCACCCTCATCTTTTTGCACATGCTTTACAATAAATGGAGTCCCCCAACAAAATCCATCAAAAATTTGTACAATTTGACTAAATAATAAAGCCAATCTTTAGTCTATTTCTTCACATGCTTGCACTAGCTTTGATTGCTTGGAGAAATCAACACCAGCCAAAATAAGTTTTGTCGAGAGAGGTATTGCCAAAACACAAAATCTTTAGGATAACAACCCTAACAATCAAGTGTTAGGATTTTTAATCCTACGTTTGTGCATTTTAATGCGAGTTGGCAATCCGTTTCAAAGACCAAATTGTGATTTTTCAGTCTAATCTCCTTTGTCCCATTTGTTGCTGGAATCAACAGATCTTATGCAGTGATGGTTTATGAATTTTTGTCCTGGCATTGCCTAAGGGGGAGATTGTTAGGATTTTTGTCCTAAGTGTTTTTGTGTTTTGGCAATACCTCTCTTGACAAAATTTAATATCATTTGTATTAATTCAAAGTAAAATGTGAAGAGAAGATTTAGGCTCAAGAATTTCAAAGATTTGGAAATTTTGTTGATGTATTTTCAGCTTTGAAAATGCCAACATTGGGATGCTAAAGATGGCTATTTGTCTCAACCTTTCAGTGGCAAAACATGGCTGAAGACAGAACTTCACATGTGCAAAATGTTTGAAAGATTTTGCTTGATCTTGATTGTCAAAGCATGAGCAAAAAAATAGAGCTTTACATGTGCAATCTTTTTGATTTTGTTGGTTTTCCATCAAGTATCTAACATGTGCAAAAAGATGGACAAAGATGATGGACGTTTGTCTGTAATAAGCTAGGAAAACGTGGCAAAGGATATGGGCCAAAATTGTGGACGGAGAAGTTTGAAAAAGTTGCTGCTCGCATGTTCCTTCGTGCCCGCGACAAAACAATCTTGGAATCCACCGAAGCCTACAATCTTGAAATCCACCAAGAAGGTTCACTTTTGGAAAGTTGTGAATAACTTACAAAGCTTGATGATGAACTTGAAGTTCCTATGGCTAATGTATCATCAAGAAAATGAGAGCATTACAAATAATCCTCATTACAAGTACACTCTTAAAACAAACTCAATAAAATCTCTCTTAAGAAACGACTCTCTCAAAATGTATCTCTCACAAATGAGCTTTCTCTATGTTAGGAAATATTGAGCTTAGGACAGTTATGGGAGAGATAGAAGACAAGTTAAGAGAGTTTTCGAAAAGATGCACCAACAAAACAGCCAAGGGGTCCTTTAAATACACCTGGGACATGGCATCTTTGCGGGCGCAGATCTTTGGATCGTGGGCGTGAGCCTCCAGGTCATGGGCGCGATATGCCATCGCGAGATGCAGACAAAAGTATTGGGAGTGTGTTTTCTATACTATCTAAATCGCAGTCGTGAGGAAACTGGTCGTGAGCGTGATGTCCAAGCATACAAATCACAGGCGCGATGTGTTTGGTCGCGGGCGTGAGGGAGCATGCAAGCAGCATCTTTTTTAGACTTCTTTTTCCACAATTTCGGCCCAAGTCCTCTACCACGTTTTGCCAGAAACGATCATCATCTTTGTCCATCTTTTTGCACATGTTTGGCACTTGATGGAAAACCAACAAAATCAAAAAGATTGTACATGTAACGCTCCGTCTTTTTGCTCATGTTTTGACAATCAAAATCAAGCAAAATCTTTCAAACATTTTGCACATGTGAAGTTCTATCTTCAGCCATGTTTTGCCACCGAAAGGTTGAGACAAACAACCATTTTTAGCATCCCAATGTTGGCATTTTCAAATCTGAAGATGCATCAACAAAATCTTCAAATCTTTGACATTCTTTAGCCCAAATCTTCTCTTCACATTTTACTTTGAATCAATACAAATGATATAAATTTTGTCAAGAGAGGTGTTGCCAAAACACAGAAACACTTAGGATAAAAATCCTAACACATATGAAACAAGATATCAATATACATTAGGATGTATTTTTGGTTGAAGGCATTTCAGGTGGCCAATTGTGCTTAAGCTCTTGAAGAATTTGTGAAATAATGGCAGACAAAGTAATTGTGAACTTCTATATTAAGCAACTCAAGAGAGTTGGCTAAACAATCCATAGATAATGAAAATTTGCTTTTCTTTACAATGTGTTTTGATTTTTCCGTGCATTATATATTAAGTTGCTTTCCACATATAGGTTGCCTTACACAAATCCATGCATTGACACAAAGAAATGGGCTTGCAATTGTTTTCTGTGAGGTGGTTAATACGGAAAAATGCAAGTTTACAACAGTATTAGTAGAATGCCTGCCTATGTTGAGTTGGGCTATTTTGTAGTATAAGGTGTTCAAACTCGGTGCATGCTTGAGTTGAGCCTATAGTTAGCTATTTGAGCTCGGCTTGTCAGATGTTTGGTGAGCTCATGAGCTAGTTCAATTAACATGAATTTGGTTTTAATATACACACATATTTAGGTTTTTTTAGTCCTAGGCAAATTTATTGTAGACTTGTAGTTGGAAACTCGTCAAAATTTTATTGATGAGTTTGAAGAAGCAAATAAAAGTATTGCCGATAGCCTATACTATGACATCACACCACCCAAATTGCACATTCGTAAATGGTAAAATTGTTCACATTTATAGGAATTTAACAAATATTAAATCAGCCATTGAACACTAAAATATTTCATGTGTGCCATTATGACATGTTCACGAACCTAACAAGTCAAGCTGGGCCTTGTTTGGGCTTGGCTCGTTTACTAAACGAGAATATAAACTGAGCTCAAGCTCGGTCCATTAATTGTTGAACAAGCAAATTGTCGACCAAACCTGGGCTGTTCATGAATAGGAAGGGGTGCTTCTAGGTGTGTGTAGGGGTGAATATAGAAGGCTAATAAAGTATTTGACAACCTTTTGACCAGTAGTTGGAACACCTCAAAAAATAGAAAACACGCAATTTAGTCCCTACGACACAAGACAAACTCAATGAAATATGGAGAAACCATTTGCAATAGACTTATGAAACAAATAAGCTATTACTCTTATTGCATACTTTATTGTAGATAATCTATCTACAAAATTGAAACTATTTATATGGAGAAACCGGTACCACCCCCCTTGGTTAGTAATGTAGCTTTATCCTTCTAGTGAACCCCTAATTTTTCTAATTGTCATTTTATATAATAAAATTTTATACTTGCGTGGTTAGACCAATTCAAGCTTGGTCCAAACTTGACTTGGATCATAAATTTAAGCCCGAGATCATCCTGACTTGTACTATACATGTTCATCTTCAAAATATATTTCGGGCTAGATGGGCTGAGTTTTTGCATTTGGCAACAATCTGTGTCTCTATTTTGGAAGTTCTTTATATATATAGAATTTGAGTTCTAATGCAATACAAGATGTATTAAGGTTGTTTAATCAAATTGGTTTGTTTAATATGCCGCATCTATCAAACTGACTTGTTTTCCCCCAAATTTGTGCAGTTATCATTATGTGCTTCAAACTTGCGCGATCGGGATGTGCTTTCCAAGGTTTGTTGTCCAGTTTCTAAGAATAAGGACTTTTCATTGCATTACTGTATTATTATTTGTTATAGTGTTATTGACATTCATATTTAATTCTTTATTCTGGTTCGTCCCTTCCAACTGTGAGAATGTGTTATCCTAGGATTAGGAATAAGTGTCCTATATCTATTAGACTTCTATATATCTCAGTAATGTATTCATGTAGGATTAGGAATTAGTGGTACTCTATATAAATGATGTATGTATTCTTTGTTCAATAGAATTCAAGACTAATATACAGTTTTATTCAGAAAACTTACATGGTATCAGAGCAGGTTGAGAAACCCTAGCACTGTAGGTCTCTCTCCTTCTCTCAAACCTGATTGTTGATCGAAGCCCTTTGCTTCATCAATCGTCAGTCGTGAATCTTCTCCTTGGCACAGTCTGGAGCCCTTTGCTTCATCAATCGTCAGTCGTGACTTTCTCCTTAGCACAGTCTGGTTCGCGATTTCTCTCTCTCTCTCTGCCCTGGTTGTCGGACGAAGCTTTTTACTTCGTCGATCATCTGGTTGGGTTTGATTTATTTGATTCCTTGCAACTGTTCGACTCAACTGGTCGACTCATCTATTCGACTCGCCGTCTTCTCTCTCTCATTCTGGTTCGCGTGTGTCGGCTTCAGGTTCTCACTCCTCTAGTTTGGTTCTCTTGGCTTCGTCTGTTAACTGAGTTAGTGACACATCTCAGTTTGGTTCTTCAGTGTTTCCTTTATTATACTTTGACCTAACTATTCTACAACTTTGCTTTATAATGGACCCTAAAATTCAAGGCATTAAATGTAAACTCACTGGTGGCAATTATGCCTATTGGGCCAGTGTTATGAAGAATTTTCTTCTTGGTCAAAAAAAATGGGGCTATGTTTCTGGTTCTACTCCTCGTCCATCAGACCCGAAGGTAGAAGGGTATGTGTCTTCCTGTGACACTTGGGATTGTGATAATGTCCAAGTTCTTACCTGGTTTCATAACTCTGTGAATGATCGTATTGGAATGATGTTTTCCAAGTACAGTACTGCCAAGGAAGTGTGGGATTATTTACTCGGTGTTTATCAGCAGTCCAACTTTGCCAAGCGGTATGAGTTGGAAACAACTATTCAGAGTGCTCGTCAGCGGGATCAAACTATTTAGGACTTTTATATTGAGATGATAGGTCTCTGGGATCAGTTGGCTCTTATGGAACCACCTAGTCTCAAGATACTAGACGCTTATATTGAGTTTCGGGAACAGGGTCGTTTAGTCCAGTTCTTAACAGCTCTTTCCCCTCAGTATGAGGCTATTCGAGGTGGCATCCTTCACCGATCTCCTCTTCCCTCTGTGGATGCTATTGTTCGTGAACTCCTCTCCGAGGAAACCCGTCTTAAGACGGCCAGTCAGACTTTGCCTCCTTCTGTGTTCTTGGCTCCTGCCAAGCCACCCTTGTTATCGACTCCTCCTTCTCAACTTCAGGCCACTGCGAAACCCAAGAGAGGACCATTAGGGCCAGATGAGTGTGCTTTCTGCCATCAGAGGGGTCATTGGAAGAACAATTGTCCCAAAAAGGGACGTCAGCCTGCTCCGTCTTCTCAGACACAGTTCCGCGGTCCTACTTCGAGTATTTTCCGACCTCCTGCTGCTTACACTGCGTCTACTCCGGCTCCCGATCCTGACTTGGCTTCCCTGAGTGCTCAGGTTGCACAACTTCAGCATATCCTGTCCACCTCTCAGTCATCCCCATCTGCCTCCGCTCTTACCTCTCTTCATTCAGGTTTGCTTGGGTCCTCTTCGGGTATCCCTTCTTCTGTTTGGATTTTTGATTCTGGTGCCTCTCATCATATGACTCCTCACCTTTCCTTACTTCAAAATTGTATTCTCCCACCCGTTCCTATTACTATTAATACTGCTAATGGATCTGGTATGCCTGTTTTATCTGTTGGGTGTGTCTTACCCTCTGCCATGTTTGCTGTTACTATTCCTTCTGTTTTTTATGTTCCTCAGTTATCTCTCAGTTTGTTATCTATCAGTCAGCTTGATGCATCTGGTTTTGATGTTGTCTTTTCCTATTCTGTCTGTTGTGTGCAGGATCGGGTGTCCAAGAAGCAGATTGGGACCGGCCGTAGAATTGGAGATCTCTATGTGGTTGAAAGCTTGCATCTCCCCTTATCCACCTCTCCAGCTGCACTTTCCTCGTTTCAATTAGATTCTCAGTCGAGTCAGTTTTACTTATGGCATTCTTGTCTCGGTCATTTGTCTGTTGACCGCTTACGGTCTGTAGCTCAGTCAGGATTGTTGGGTAAAGTTTCTCCTAGTCAAATTGATGAATGTCGGGGGTGTAAACTTGCCAAAATGTCAGCTTTACCTTTTAATAAAAGTACATCTATTTCTGTTTCTTCTTTCTCTCTTGTGCATACTGATGTCTGGGGACCCTCTCCTGTTCTTACTAAAGGGGGTTCAGTATACTATGTGTCTTTTGTTGATGATTGCACCCGTTACACGTGGGTTTATCTTATGACTCATAAGTCTGACTTCTACTAGATATATCGTACTTTCTAGTCCATGGTCACTACATAGTTTGGATCTACTATTAAAATGTTGCGGTCTGACTTGGGTGGGGAATACTTTAAAACTGAATTCTGTGAATATTTGGCCAACTTGGGTACCATTCACCAAACTTCTTGTACTGATACACCTGCCCAAAATGGCCGAGCTGAGCGTAAACACCGTCATCTTCTTGAGACAGCTAGGTCTCTTCTTCTTTCTGCCTCCGTTCCAGCTCCGTTTTGGGGTGAGGCAGTTCTTACTACTGCTTTTCTTCTCAACCGTATGCCTACCCCCCTTCTTTCTGGTCGGTCTCCTTATGAGGCTCTTTTTTCTCAACTTCCTAATTACTCCCTCCTTCGTGTGTTTGGGTCTGCGTGTTTTGTCCTTTTACCCCGTAAAGATAGGACTAAACTTAGTGCCCGGTCTGTCCTATGTGTTTTTTTGGGATATAGTCTCACTCAGAAAGGTTATCGCTGTTATGACCCTGTTTCTCGTCGCTTTTATGTCTCCCGCCATGTTGCCTTTCTCGAACGTTTATCTTACTTTCAGCTTCCTCCTCTCACCGCCCTAGTTTCCAAAGAGGATTTAGTTCATATTGATCCATTTCCTTCTGAGGTCCCATCTGATGAGTACATCTCCATAGTTCCTCCTGAGCTTATTCCATCTTCTCCTCCTGCTTCACCTCTGACTACTTCTCCTTCTTCGCTTTTCCTCCTTCTTTTCCTCCGTTGTTAGTTTATTCTCGTCGCAAGGTTCCTCCTCTACCAGTTGTCTCTACCCTTGCTGCTGATCCTCCTGCTTCTGACGACTCTGATCCTGCTGCACACCGATATCCTCCTCGAGCGCGTCATCGTCCAAAAAGGTTGGGTTGGTCTAATACTTGTTTTTTTGCTTCTTATCGTACCTTTTTGTCTGCTATTCACTCTTTTGCAGAACCTCAGTCTTACAAGGAGGCCTGTCAGGATCCTCATTGGGTTCAAGCTGTGGAGGATGAGTTGTTTGCCCTACAGAAAACTAGTACTTGGGAGTTGGTTCCTTTACCTGCTGGTAAGAATCTGGTTGGTTGCAAATGGGTCTACAAAGTTAAGACTCATTCTGATAGTTCTCTTGAGCGCTACAAAGCTCGTCTGGTGGCCAAAGGTTTCTCCCAAGAGTATGATATTGATTATGAGGAGACATTTGCTCCTGTTGCCAAGATGACTACTGTCCGTACTTTGATTTCTGTCGCTACTGTTCGTTCTTGGCCTCTTTATCAGATGGATGTTAAGAATGCTTTTCTTAATGGCCATCTCACTGAGGAGGTTTACATGCGTCCTCCTCCTGGTCCTCACCATTCCTCTGGCCAAGTCTGTCGTCTTCGGCGTGCTCCATATGGTCTGAAGCAATCTCCTCGTGCTTGGTATGATCGCTTTCAGACTGCTGTTACCGAGCTTGGGTTTCATCCTTCTGCTTCCGACTCTGCTTTATTTCTAAGACATATCTCGGCTGGTTTTGTTGCTCTCTTACTATATGTAGATGATATGATCATCACTGGCTCAGACTCTTCTGCTATCTCTGAGGTCAAGCAGCATCTATTCCGCACCTTCGAAATGAAGGATCTGGGACCATTGCGGTATTTTCTTGGCATTGAGCTGGCTTCTTCTCCCAAGGGTTACTTTCTGTCCCAGGCTAAGTATGCTAACGAGGTTATCCATCGTGCTAGACTTACTGACACTAAGCTGTCTGATACCCCCATTGAGCTTAATGTAAAGCTCAACACTACTGATGGGGTTCCTCTAGATGATCCTACATTATATCGCGAGCTTGTGAGTTGTTTAGTCTATCTGACAGTTACTCGCCCTAATCTTGCCTATGCTGTTCATGTGATTAGTCAGTTTGTTTCTGCCCCTCGCTCTACACATTGGGCTACTTTGCTTCGAATTCTTCGCTATCTTCGCAGTACTATCTTTCTGGGCTTGCTGTTCTCTTCTACTTCTTCCTTAGACTTGGTGGCTTATGCTGACGCTATCTTCGCAGTACTATCTTTCTGGGCTTGCTGTTCTCTTCTACTTCTTCCTTAGACTTGGTGGCTTATGCTGATGCTGATTGGGCTGGTGATGTTAATGATCGTAAATCTACTTCTGGTTTCTGTATGTTTCTTGGTGATTCCCTTATTTCTTGGAAAAGCAAGAAACAGACTGTTGTTGCCCGTTCTACTGCCGAAGCTGAGTATCTGCTATGGCTCATGCTACTGCTGAAATTGTCTGGCTTCGTAATCTCTTATCTGAGTTGGGCGTCCCTCAATCTTCCCCGACCTCTCTTTATTGTGACAACCGAAGTGCTATTCAAATTGCTCATAACACTGTCTTCCATGAACGGACAAAGCATATTGAGATTGATTGTCACTTCGTCCGTCAGCATCTGCAGTCTGGCTTTATCTCGCTTCCTTTTGTCTCTTCGGCTCTGCAACTTGCTGACTTCTTCACTAAGACTCACACCACTGCTCGGTTTCGGTTCTTTCTTGACAAACTCTCAATGTTTTCTGCTAAAACACCTTGAGTTTGAGCGGAGGTGTGAGAATATGTGTTCTCCTAGGATTAGGAATAAGTGTCCTATATCTATTAGACTTCTATATATCTCCGTAATGTATTCATGTAGGATTAGGAATTAGTGGTACTCTATATAAATGATGTATGTATTCTTTGTTCAATAGAATTCAAGACTAATATACAGTTTTATTCAGAAAACTTACACCAACTTCATTGCATGATGATGTTACCTGCATTCTTTTGTTGATATCTTTTATTCGGTCATGAAAAATTATGCTCTTTTGCTTTATGCTTTACTATGTAATCCTTGATTTAAACATGATATTGAATCTTTGACTCTCCATTTAGCCATTTAAAGTATGTAACATTTTACCAGTGTTCTAGCTTTACATTGATACAAGGTTTCAAAATTTTTCTTTGGGTTGCAAAACATGAGAATGCAACTACATGAGCTACTTCTAGCAAATATAAATTAATGTATTCTAAAAATGTTAAAAAAATGCCCTAGGAGAATGATTTGAGAAATTTAAATAAGGTATAAATGATATATTCCCAGAAGGGTTTCCAGAGTTTGTCAAATAGTTTCCAGAGTCTGCCTGTATGCAATAGTAATACCTTTTGTAAAGCTTAATTTAACTTATCGATCATCATTTATCATATTAGAATTCAGAAATGACTTGTTATTGACTTAATTTGTTAGTTCTTGTTAATTACTAGTTGTGTATAAATTTAGAGCATTTAATGAAAATATATTATTTTTAGATTGGCAGCTAAGAAGCATGGTCATAGGCACATGAAATGACACAAACACGTGGATACATAAATTTTCAAAAAATGTGGGACATGACACATGGGGGACAAGTGCACAATATATATTTCTATGTATTAAATATGTCTTATATAAAGATAAATAATTATTATATGTCATGTATATGAATTTTTAAGTCAAATTTTCGATGTCTAAATGGGGAGAATAATAGGTATAACTTACATTGCTTTTGTTTTATTGTTGGATTCTAAGTTATTTTATTCAAACTTGTAATTTGTTTCATGTGTGTGTGTCTAAGTGTTGGGAAGTGTCCAATGAGTGTCGCGTTGTGTTGGTGTTGGGCATGACACGTTTCCTTGTTAGAAATGTCTGTGTTTCTTAGATTGGCAGACTAAGTATACCCTTTTGCTTGGTTTAAATATTGTCATTGAATTTGTTCTATTTTTTTTAAACAATTTCTTAAAAATGAATTTTTTTTTTTTTTTTTTTTTGTTATCATTCATCATCTCTGGCAAATACAAGAAAAGATAATGAAAGGTATTCAAAGTATATATTTATGGAACTTAAGATTTGTACCTTTATTGTTTGAATTTTAAATCTTGAGTGTTCTTTTTGTTTTTGTTTTTGTTCTTGTTTTTTTGTTTTTCTTTCAGAGTGATCCTATGGCAGTTGTTTACACAAAAGGAAGAGATGGTGCGCTTCAAGAGCTTGGCCGAACTGAAGTAGTATTAAATTCATTGAATCCCAAGTGGATCAGAAAGCATACTGTGACCTATCATTTTGAGGTGGTGCAGACTTTGGTGTAAGTTTCAGTGCTTACATCTCTGCTTTTTACCATGTGAATACTTATGGTTTGAGTTTCATGTACCTTGAGAAATTATCTTCTATCACAGGTTTCGTGTGTATGATGTTGACACTCAGTTTCACAATCTAGATGTAAAGGTATAATTATATGATGCTGTCTTCTCAAACTTTTGATCATGGAAACTGAATTTATATCTTGAATATATAATTCTATTAACAGTTGTTGAATTTGTCAAACAAGCAGTTGTTGTTTCACTTGAAGGTAAAATAAATTTTGATGCATACGTGTCTGAAGTAGACTGCTTGATTTAGTCGAGGTGAGAGGGCTAGAAGTTGGTGGAGAGAGAAAACACTCAGTCAAACCATTCCAAAATTTACATGACCTTGAGCTTATAAGAGAGATTTTCTTAAATTATCAGTCACTATATTTTTTTTTTATCACTGGAGTAGTTGAAGAATGTATGAAATGAATGAACAAGGAATTTTCAATTGATCCCTACAATATAAGAAGACAACAAACTAATTTGATTCGAAAGACATTTCATCTTGTGAAATAAGAATCTTTTTGAATTGGTTTTTGGATGACTAGTAATTTTAGTTCTACTTAGTAGAGATGTTTGTGGTGGTGGCCTGATTAGTTTTCACTGTAGCCTTTATCCTGTTTAGGGTGTTGCATGTGATATGCAGACTGATCAGTTGTTAGTTCTAAAAATATTAATGATTTACTGATTACATTTGGGGTTGGTTAGATGAATCCTGTTTTGTCATGCCTAGATATTTTGTTTCCCTCCTCTACTTTTACGTCTTTCCTCATAAGCTCAGCCCATGTGCTTTATGGCCTACACCTTTGTCTTGTAGCTCCTTCAACTGGTATCATGTACCTCGTATTTTTCTTGGTTTTGTTTATGGGGAGGATGCATATTTGAAGTATAAATGTCCCCATTTATAAGCACATTTGGAGATTTGATTGAGAGCATTTCATGTCTCTTACATTTTGCTTACAACCCCCTGTTTAAATTGAAAACTGGCTGCGTTGACAAGACTCTACTTTAAACTTCTGTGTTGTGTTTATAAAGGATGCACTTTGGTATCTCACTTATGTGATGCTCCTTGTGTGCATTTGTTCTGGATATACTATGAATTATAATCAAGTATTTGCAAGCTATAATATTCGAATGATTCAATTCATTTATGACTTTCACTCATGCAGATGCTTAAGCTGGATGAGCAGCAATTTCTTGGTGAGGCTACTTGTACATTGTCTCAGGTATTGAATACCTGCCTTTCACTTATACCCTTCATACTATTCTAGTTCCAACCCACATACACCTACGTGGCATATTAATTTGTGTAATATTCATGTGATAGACACGTTTCTATTGATATTTCTGATCTTAGATTGCATCATATGCAGAATTAGTTGGTTAAGATTGTCGCATGGTGTTACGTATATAATCTATAGATTTCTAGATTTAATTTGATCTAAAATTATTTACCAGCTAGGATATTAGATCTTATGGTTGTAATCTCTTTCCTATATGGTAGATCTCATGGCTGTAATCTTTGTCCTTTTGTGGTGGTGGTGGGAGAGGGTTTTGTTAGCCTATCTGGCAGAATAGTTCAGCGTATACAATAGTGATCATCAGTCTTTCACTATTGTGGTTGTCATTTTCCATTTCTTTACCCGCCACCGGTTTGATCCTTTTTATATCTATCCACACGTATAGGTCTTGAATTGAATTGTCCATCTTTCATAGTACTCAGAAACAATAGTCTATATAACGTAAAAGGCTTTCATCCTTTGAATAAAATCTGCAATTCTGGTGATATATCTATCGGTATATCCATATTTTCAGGACCTCGATACATCAATGTTACCCACAATGCTTTACTGATTTTCTTTATCTGAATCAACATTGAGATCTTGCAATATGCAAGCCTATATATCCCCTCATTTTCAATGTTGTGTTATATTCTTTTTATTGATGTTTCCTTGTTTACTTTCGCCTCAACTGTATATCCAACATATTCTACTGGAAGTTGGAGCTTTAACTTTTTTCTCATAAAATCTGCCCTTCTTTCTGTGTAGATTGTCACCAAATCAAATGGGTCATTGACCTTAGATCTTGTACGTAAAGATGAATCACTCGGATCAAAACATCCCAGAAATTTTGGTGCACTCCTTATTCATGCTGAAGAATCTGTTAGCTCAAAGACTACAACAGAATTGATATTGAGATGCTCAGATTTGGAATCTAGGGATCTGTTCTCAAAAAGTGTATGGTCCTACTGATTTCTCTCTCTTTTTCTTTTCCTTCCCCCCCCCCCCCCCCTCTCTCGCGGGGTTTCTGGATAATATTAAGAATCTTGGTATATTGTTGCTTCTTGCAGGACCCTTTCCTGGTAATATCAAAAATTGTGGAAAGTGGGATACCTATTCCAATTTGTAAAACTGAGGTTTTGAAAAATGATCTCAATCCGACATGGAAACCAGTATTTTTGAATGTCCAACAGGTTGGAGGAAAGGTAAGACAGTTTCCTTTGGGGTCAAGACACTGCAATTTTTATTAATTATTATCTTGATTCTTGATAAGTAGGCTTGCAATTTACTAGAGGAATTTTACTGTTCTCCACTGTAGGCATACCTCACACAAATATTACTTGTCTATTATGTGTAACTTAATGTTATCTGTTAAGTTTGCACTCACTAGTGGAAAAGGGCAAGTTATTTTCCACACATCTTGGTCATTCATGAAGCTTTGCTAGGCATTTGATTCTCCAGAATGATCATAATCTGCTTTAAATAGGGGAGATTACGTATTTGAATTGGGATGTCAGATATGAATTCACTGCTTTTCATCAGTTCTCTAATGCTCCGTATTGCACCAATGTTCTCTTGCTTAATTTGTGCAGGACAGTCCGGTAATTATAGAGTGTTTTAATTTCAACAGCAATGGCAAACACGATTTAATTGGGTTAGTGGAGACTTTCCTGTTTCTTCCTCTTTTCCTGACCCTCATACACTGGTGTACTGATTTTGCTTTTATGTTCTGGATTATTCAGAAAAGTTCAGAAATCACTAGCAGAATTAGAAAAGCTTCATTCTGTTGGACAGGGGGAATGTTTATTCTTACCAACTTCTGTTGGACATAATCATGATGACAAGGTACTTACAATTTGAGCTTGGTGAATTTTCACAGTAAGTCCTTTATGCCTTTGCCTTTAATTAACTGGTTCTATGACTTCGATATAGGTCTTAAAGAGTCATCTATATGTAGACAAATTTCATGAGAGTGTCAAACATACATTCCTGGATTACTTGTCTGGTGGATGCCAACTGAATTTCATGGTCGCCATTGATTTCACAGGTATTCATGTATGCAATTTCTACCCCCTTGAATGTAATTGATTTCTGTTGCCATACTAGAATAATTTCCCCATGGGTCAAATTTTGGTGTCTATAATCATTACATAATATTATTACTTGTCTAGATTGGACTAAGGCTATGGTATGGATGGGTAGATCCCTAGCATTGACTAGAGTTCATGCCGAACATTTTACTTCTCCTGGCTTGATAGGTTCCTTCAAAATTCTCCCTTGACCTAACGAACCCTCTTCCAACTATTTCAGTTGGATCTGGATATGTGAATTTTTATTGCGACTCTGTTCTTTCTAGGACCTTGTTTGTGTTGTTATGAGCTATAATCTTTTTTCTTGTGATTGTTGGATTCCATTGCATGTAGTCAAGATCTCAACAGACTTCAACCCCTCGTCTTTACTTTAGTCTGCCAATTGCATTTGTTCTTATGTTAATTATCTTAACATTTGTAGTTATACTCATCTTATCAGTTTTTCACTACTTTGAGACATGACTATCCTTCTTTTAAAAAGTTTTGTTTTATTTTTTTTGTGGGCATGTGAGCATTCTAGAGGCACTTAACCACTCTGTACGTGACCTTACCGATTATATTGGGATACCTTTTAATGTCATAAACATTGATTTATACTATTTTTTCACCTCAATTCTCTCTATCTTTTTATGTGCTTTTCATCAAACGACACTCCCTATATATACTTACTACCATTCTTTCTTTATCAGCTTCAAACGGGAATCCCCGCCTGCCTGATTCCTTGCATTATATTGACCCTTCTGGACGGCCAAATGCATATCAGAGAGTAGGAACCCGGCATCCTCTATGAATCATTTCTTACAACTCTTTCTTATCTGTTAAAAGGACATACATAATTGTGAATCCATTAATTTCAGGCAATCTTAGAGGTTGGAGAGGTATTGCAGTTTTATGATTCAGATAAGCGCTTTCCTGCATGGGGTTTTGGGGCCCGGCCAATTGATGGCCCAGTTTCTCATTGTTTTAACTTAAATGGAAGCAGCAGTTACTGTGAGGTGAAATTTCCACATAATATTTCATTTTCAACTTGCCATCATTAGTGTATGTTAAGTATTCCTATTTTTGTTTGCAACAATCTATTTCATTATTGGACTTTTGTTTATTTTTCTCCCAGGTTGAAGGAATCCAAGGAATTATGATAGCATATAATTCTGCCCTCTTTAATGTTTCGCTTGCCGGTCCAACCCTTTTTGGACCTGTGATTAGCACAGCTGCACAGATAGCCGGCGAGTCTCTTGCAAATAATGAACACAAGTACTTCGTTTTGTTAATAATCACGGTAAGAAAGCAGATTTCAAATGCTTTTAAGGAAAAACAGAAAAGAAAATTAAAAAATGGTGTGAGAAGATATGAGATTCAAATTGCAGTAGAACCCTTTCAGTGATCTGTACTCCCAAAGAAAATCACATGTACTACCAATTTTTTACTATTTTGCCGGGCAAATGAATCTGTCCTTGGTCTGATTTCCTTATTTTTATCAAATCCTATTCTGTATAAACTGTCTCAGGACGGAGTTATAACAGATCTCCAAGAAACAAAAGATGCCCTTGTGAAGGCATCGGACTTACCGCTGTCAATCCTTATTGTTGGAGTTGGAGGAGCAGACTTTAAAGAGATGGAGGTATCATCTGCCTTTCTTACCGTGCTGCACCGTTTAGTCTACTGTCTATCCGAAGATTTTGATTTCGCTGCAATTTGACCATTTTTGTGCAGATTTTAGATGCAGATAAAGGTGACAAACTTGAAAGTACAACTGGACGTGTTACATCACGTGATATAGTCCAGTTTGTCCCATTGCGCGATGCACAGAGTAAGCCAACTTTATTAATCTGCAAATATTCAAATTGATTTTGACTGGCAAGTGAAATTTTCTTATGATTTGCAGGTGGAGAGATCTCTGTTGTTCAATCACTTCTAGCAGAACTACCTTCCCAATTTCTAACCTACATGCGATCCAGAGATATTCTCCCGAAAACCTGATTATACAAACATCTGTATATATGACAATTTGTTTTTCCATTATTGATTCTCATGCCAGATGATGAGTTCATCGTTGTTGAGTCTCTGGTGAAATGCAAACCATCAAAGGTTTAAAAGGGTAGTTTCTTGTATCGGCTATATCATTTTCGAGAGCAGAAGTTCATTTTGTGTATAGGGGGCTACACAGATCTTTCTTGTTCATAATGGATAAATGGAGGTCAAATCCAGTCCAAACTTGAGTTCATTTTTTGAGAGTAAGTTGAGTCCATGTAGTAGGCCAAAATGTTACTTACATGACAACTTTCTCATGAAAAAATTAAGTTGAAACTGTGCAGTTTGTATTCCGGATCCATGAGCCAATGAAGAAGTGATTAGAAACTCAAATTTTAGTTGAATTGCAGAAAAATTATATGATAGCAAACTTGATGAGCCCAAGGTTTTAGGGTTGGCTGCTAAATGTGTTAAATACTTGTTTGGGTAGTTTGTGGATCTTGATGAGTACTCAATTTTTGTTTGATATGTGTTTAATACATGTTGGATTAAGGGTATTTTTGATATTTTACAATTTTACTATGTTGTTTGGGTACTCAATTTTACTGTGTTGTCTTATTACATGTTGCATATTATTACTGTGTTGTATTTGTAACTCTGTTAAAATCATGGTGAAATCACAGCGTGAGAGTGTCCTATTATAGGATGAATCGTGTAAACATGTATTCTTATGTGCTTCATTTCAAAGCTTGTTCAGTAACTGTTGATGTTTCGTATCGTACTGATCCTAATTAAGTAAATCAATTATTAAATGCAAAGGTTATGACTTGTTTGGCTTTAAGTCTTATTTTGTTCATAGCTGTTTTAACCAATCCGAGGAGAGTATTTGTTTACTAGTTAGTGTCCAACACTACCAACATTCGTTTCACCTATTTTTGGCTTCCAATGAGGGTGTCAAATTAGCACCAAACATTGCCAATAATTAACTTTACAACTAAGTGGGCACAATGGGGTCTCATTGCTATATTTTAATCACTTTATTATTCTTTATATATAATACACATGAGCCCCACTCTTGCACTTGTACGAAGGAGGAGACTTGATTCTTAGATTTGTGACCACCAAGAACAGACTTTAGGCTGCTACATATTTTCTTTGTACACCACCTACCTCAATTCCTGCCTAACTTTGTCCTTTCAACATTCACCTTAATTTCAATTACATCTTCCTTCTTGCTAGTTTGAAATGTTAACCTTTGCTACCTTCATATTATCTTTGTACACCACCTACCTCAATTCCTGCCTAACTTTGTCCTTTCAACATCCACCTTAATTTCATTTACACTCTTCGTTTTTGCTAGTTTGAAATGTTAACCTTTGCTATCTTTGGTTGCTGCCACACCACCCTCTCCTGCCACCCTAAACCATAGTTCTAAATATTGGCCTATGTTACGTATCAGCTGTTGCATATCGGAATTTGGGACCTCCAATGTCTAGTATTTGTTGGTATATAGGCTGATATTGTCTAGTATGGACTTATATTTGGCTGTATCATTGATACTGATACGTTAACTAATACTGTTTGTTATTTAAAACCATGTACCTAGCCCCTCCCTCCTCCCTAGCGCCCTTCCGCCCCTCTCTAATGTACCACTACCCAATCCCTCTTAGTCATCTCTAGTCACTCCCAACCCCTACACTCCTTCCCACCCCTGCCAATCCCCTCTAGTAATTCTCTCCACGACTGTAAACCCTCACTCTTACTCTTTCTTTCCCTTCCTCAATGGAAGCCGATAATAAGGTGGGAAAGTGTTGGGTGGTGACAAAGAGGTATAGGATGGGTTGCGAAGGAGGGGAAGTCGATGTGGGGCAGTAAGAGAGGGTGGGAAGAGGTTGGGGATGGCAAACAAAGGTGGGGAGGGTGGCAGTCGAAGATGGTGGTGGCTGGGGTGGGTAGAAATTAAAGTTAGGATTTGAATGGTGGTAAAATAAATTTTTTGATAAGACAAATTATTATAAAAAATAGAAATGATACATCCTTTTAATTCGGGAGCTCTAAAAGAGCACTAATGATGTGAAAAGTACAAATAAAAAGAATCAAGACCAAAATATCATATCACTTGAAACCACACACCAATTAGAGTTATTAGAGCTTTTAATTCAGAGCTCCCAAACTTTTTTCAATAAAAAAAATATGGGTCTATTAGCAGCCTACCAAGACTTTAACTACAAAAACTACTTCCGCTAATGTGCTCCATGCAAGAGGAGAATTCCGTTCTCTTCCCAAATGCAATGAAAGTCGATCCATTTTGGCCCAGCTTAACCCAAGTATAAGGCCTATATCAACTCAAATCCTTTTAATTTTGCACCACAGGCCTCATATCTATTGTGAGAGTGCAGTATAAAGAATAAGTACTGTCTTCTGCTTCTTCTTCATTCACTACAAAGTTAAAAGATTTCTTACCATTTACACTACTTTTTGCATATTTTTTCATAAAAAAATCAAAAATATTTCCAAACATATTGATTTTTGCCACCTCAAAAATTTTGTCAAAAAAAATTAAAAAATTACTAAAAAAGTCAATTCTGAAATGGATTCTAAATCACACTACCTTTTCTTTAGATTTGAAGAACATACAGTAAGTCCTATAGTCTTGGTAAGGCTAAAACGACCGATATTAATGTAGATGATATATATATATATAGATAAATAAGATAAAATATATATTTCAGTGTAAAATAAATGATAACATCATTTTTTTTTTTTTCGTTCATATGACTACCAAATTACTAATGAAAAAATGATTAAATTTTATATGAATTAAAACCTTGAGGGAACCAACATAATTATGCCAATCTTATACATCTTATTATATTTTTTTCAAACTTTAACAACATCAATGTTATTTATTTATTTATTTTTCTGTTTTTGCATTAGGCAAGATAATCAATTATCTTAGGCTCCAAAATTGAGAAGGTCACCCTCCAAATTATTAGAATTTTACTGATATGTCCTCTTTTATTTGATAAGATCCCGGAATTGGCAAAGCACCCAAGTGTTGTTTACCTAGGCCGAAAATAAAAGGAGAAATTATTATTCAGAAGATATTTTGTAAAATTATTAGGGGAAATTGTATTTTAGTGGAGCAATGAAAAAAAAAATTACGTTTTTAAGATGGTACAATTCTTCACGTGTGTCAGAGTTGCACAAAAAAAAAATCATTTGTCGCGAAATTTTTTTCACATCGCTCCATATATTTGCAATTTTCCCAAATTATTATATAACATTAAAAAAATTATAATTATAATTATTAATATTTATAAAATTTATAACTTTTTTGTAATATTTTTTTCAACACACCACTAGTGTGTAATTCTCCCAAAATAAAAAAAGTCACGCAGGCCTCAAATAAAAAAAACAATAAAGCACCTATGAATGTATTTTTTTTTTTAAAAGGGATTGGTTTTTTTCAAGTTAGTCATCTCAATTTAGGAGAATATTTGGGCTTGGTAGACCTATTTTTAGACTGATTTCGGTGATTCAAACAGTTAATTTTTTTGGACCCGTTGAGTAGAATATTCATGTAAAATATCAAGATGATCGGACACAAGTAATTATATATTTGAATCAAATTTTTATTACAAAAAATGAATGGCTATTCTTGAAATTATATTTGCCGTCTATTTTTTAAAAAACAAATATGATTCACACATATAGCTACTGATGTCCAATCATTTTATTTTTTTTGCATGAATATTTTACTCAACGAGTCCTAAAAATGGTTCAGATCATTGAAATTGGTTATAAAATAGACTTACCAAGCCTAAATACTCTCTCAAATTGAGATAACAACGTATAAAAAGAAATTTTTTTTTTGCATCACATTGAGAACGAGTCCTAAAAATGGTTCAGATCATTGAAATTGGTTATAAAATAGACTTACCAAGCCTAAATACTCTCTCAAATTGAGATAACAACGTATAAGAAGAAATTTTTTTTTTTCATCACATTGAGAGTAGATTTGACAATTTTCAATTGTTTGAAGATATTTTTTGTTTTCTATTTAATTTCACAAATTTGATTATTGGATGATATATATATATATATATATATTTAAAAAAATTGTATTAAACTTACAAAAAAAATTAAAACATGAAATTTTAATGATATTGATTATTAAAATTTAATTCCAAATAAAGAATTTTAGAAATAATTATACAAACATAACAAGAAAAGAAAGCTCTATCGATAAAATAAATTATATTAAAATATTAGATTCTTTTTTGCCAAATGCATGTGCTGCTTATAAAATGCTAGTGATAATTCTTGTCACTATAGCTTTTGTTGAATGAAGTTTTTCAAAATTAAAATAGATAAAAATCCTATCTAAAAATTATATATATATATATATATATATTAAATTTATCGAGTTGTATTCATCAATCAAATTAATATTTAAATATAAAAGATCATAGTTTTAGATTTTTTGGTGGTGTTTGACAAGTGATTTTGGAGCTAAAATAGTCACAAAAGATAAAATAGGCTATTTTAGCCACAACTAACAAAACATCACATCCAACACATAATCATTACATTCTTCTCTCACAAAAAAAGTCAAAAAAACTAAAAAATTCTTCCTAAACCAAGCTTTTTAGCCTAGACTAAAATAACCAAAAAAGCTAAAAAGTCAAAAAGCCAACTCACTTCCCAAACGAAAGCTTAGAATTCTAATTCTTGACCTCTAACGCCAACTCTAATGAGTTGACAGTGAGTCCTACCCATTGTAATGTGATATTTTGATCTTAATTTATTTATTTATTTATTATTTTTTTTCTCCTTACCATGTCATTAGTACTCTATTAAAATACTAAAATATGCTCTGAATCATTACTGTTCTCCTAAACGCCCATTATGATTGGATAGCCCCTATTTTTGTTCTTTAAAAATAATATACAAACAAAATTTTTATACAAATATCTTGCTTAAAAATGATGTAACAATCATATTTGAAATTATGAGCCAAGTGACGTGTCTTTTGTTTGGAAATGAGAAGACTAAAATGACGCACGCCAATATATATTTTTTGTAAAATTTTTATTTATAAATTTTTATTATTATTTGTTTGTTTGCCTTTAAATCTATTTTGATATTATCTTCTAATCCAATATCATCCTTATGCAGCCACCGGTTCTAGGTCATGTTGAAGAAGTCTTCTTTTTGCCTTCAAACTAAAATAAAATAAAATTGTTGAGAAGGAAGTTATTTGGTAGTTCAAGGGCAACGTGGTGTCTTAAATTGAATGTGATTGGTGAAAATGATAAGACTTATAAATTTCTGTTATTGATAGAGAAACAACAAAATCACAAGACAATTGACGATTGGTTAGAAATAAAAACATGTAATAACTTGAAGCACCTAATAATTTTTTCAAGTTTAATAGAGTGAAAAAAAATCTGTAATTATTTTGTGAAGATTTCACCAAATTGTAATTTCTCTTTTTACATATACAAAATTCATTCACAGAATAATTCTCAGATAAGGTATTACAGGGTGGAGAACATAAGTTCCACATGT